GGATTTTTTTAATTTCTGAGGTGTCTGTTGTTATTTCTCCTTTATTGTTTCTGGCAGATGATATTAGAGATTTTACTTTTCTGTTTCTTGTTAGGTTGGCCAAAGGTTTATCAATTTTATTAATCTTTTCAAAAAACCAACTTTTTATTTCATTGATCTTCTGAATGATTCTTTTGTTTTCTATTTCATTTAATTCTGCCTTAATTTTGGTTTCTTCTGCTGGATTTGGGGTTGGAATTTTCTTCCTTCTCCAGTTGCTTGAGATGATCCATTATGTTGTTGGCTTCCTCTCTTTCTATTTTCTTGAGGAATGTTTCCAATGCTATAAATTTCCCTCTTAGGGCTGCCTTTGCAGTATCCCACAGGTTTTGATAATTATGTCTTCATTATCATTTTGTTCCAAAAATTTGGTGATTTCCATCTTAATCTCATCTTTGACCCAGCTATCATTCAGCCTATGATTATTTAGTTTCTGTTTGAATATGAAGATTCCTGTTGCTGTTGAGTTCAACTTTTATTCCATAGTGGTTGGAAAAGATACAAGAAACAATTTCCATTCTTTTAAATTTTCTGAGGTTAGATTTGTGTCCTAAGATATGATCAATTTTGGAGGATGCTCCATGGGCTGATAAGAAGAATGTATGTTATTAGGATGAAATGTTCTGTAGAGGTTTGTTAATTCCATTTGTTCCAGGGTTAGGTTTAAGTCTAATATGTCTTTTTTAGTTTCTTCTTCTTCTTTATTTATTTATTTATTCATTTATTTTTTTTTGAGACAGAGTCTCACTATGTCACCCTTGTAGAGTGCCTTGGAGTCACAGCCCACAGCAACCTCAAACTCATGGGTTTACGAGATTCTCTTGCCTCTGTCTCCAAAGTAGCTGGGATTACAGGCACTATCTCACTAAGTAGGTCCTCAGAGTCTCTGGTCAAAACTTATTGTCTGGTTATTTTTGTTGTTGTTGTTGTTGCAGTTGTCATTGTTGTTTAGCAGCCCTAGCCAAGTTGAAACGTGCCAGCCTCGATGTATGTGTCTAGCACGGTAAACACTGTGCTACAGGCACCAAGCCATGTTTAGTTTCTTCTTGGAGGATCTATCCAAAATTGTCAAAGGGGTTTTAAAATCTCTAACTATTATAGTAGGAAGATATCAAGTTGTTCATACCCATTAGGGTTTGCTTTATAAATTAAGGAGCATTCAGGTGGGATGCATAAATGTTAATTATCAAAATCTCTTCATTTTGGGTGAAGAGACAAATACATAGTGACCATCCTCATCTTTCTTTATCTTTTTGGTTTAAAGCCAATTGTATCTGCAAATAAAATTGCAACCCCTACTTTTTCCTGATTTCCATTTGCCAGTATTATAGATGTCCATCCCTTCACCCTGGGTCTATTTTTATCCTTTAAGATAAGATGAGATTCTTGTATGCAGCAGATATCTGGTCTGAGTTTAGGTATCCAGTCAGCCAACCTGTGCCTCTTTAGAGGAGAATTTAAACCATTCACATTGATTGAGAGCATTTATGAGCCTGGTAGTGTTTGGGTGTCATGTTTTTTGAATGTCCACTGGATATTTTTAATCTTTTCACCACTGTGAAAGCTGGGTTTTGTTCAAAAATTTCTGAGTGAGTTTACTTTGCTGGTGGAGCATTGTGCTGGTCATTGTGGAGGACAATTCTGAGAATATCCTGGACAGCTGGTTTAGTTATGACAAATTTCTTCAACATGTGTATGTTGTTAAAGTATTTGATTTCTCCATAACAAATGAAACTCAGTTTAGCTGGATACTGGATCCTGGGCTGAAAGTCCTTTGTTTTAGGAGATTAAAGGTCAATGACCATCCTCTGCTGGCTTGATATATCTCAGCTGTGAGATCTGCAGTCATTCTGCTATTTCTCCCTTTGTAGGTGATGCTTTTCTTACATCTGGCTGCTTGCAGAATTTTCTCCTTCATCTTAAGTTTGGCAAAGTATCACAATGTATCTAGGAGACACTTTATTTGGATTGAGTCTTACTGGGGTTGTGAAACTGTCTACTCTCTGAATTTCTGTGTCTTCTTCAATGCTCATGAAATTCTCCATAATCTCTTGGAGTAGAGCATCTGTACCTTTAGGACCATCCTCTTAACCTTCAGGAATTCCTATAAGACAAATGTTTGATCTTTGGGAGTGATCCCACAACTCTCTCAGGGAATGATCAGTTTTTGCTCTCCATTTGTCTGCCTCTTTGAGGTTTGGGGAATATTCAAAAGCTTTGTCTTCAATTTCAGAGATCCTTCCTTCTGCCTGGTCAACTCTATTACTAAGGGATTCTACTGTATTTTGGAGCTCCTCGAATAACTTTTTCATTTCCTTGAGCTCTGCTATCTCTTTTCTCATGTCCATATCTTTGGTGACTTTGTCTTTAAATTCATTAATTTCTTGAGAAACTTTGGAACTATGCTTTGGATTTCAATTTCTTTAAAACTTTAGAACTACTCTTTGGATTTCAGTTTCTAACTTTTCTTCCATTCTATTCACCTTATTTACCATCCATATTCTGAATTCTATTTCTGACAAATCAGCCATTTGTCTATGCATGCCATCTTCAGTTGTATTTCCTCTGTCATTCCTTGCAGGGGATGATCTACTCTGGTTATTCATGTTGCCAGAGTTTTTCCATTGGTTCTGCACCCTGTTTATTTTCCACTGTTTGGTTATTAGAACTGGTAGAGTGAGACTGAATTGGGGTTCCCAGGTAGTACAGATAATCAGCCCTTTATCAAAGCACTAGGCTTTGTAATTGTGGCTTATCCCCTACAACCTCACATAGGCCCCTTTCAGAGTTTTGGCCAGAGACTCTGAGGGCTAACTTAGTGAGACAGTGCAAACTGACTCTGTTTTGAAATCAGCTAACCTTTATCCTATCCTAAAAAGCCACAGTATTAGTTTTAAATCTTGGCTGTGTAGAAATACAGACGGCTGTGTTGCCCTTCCCCCACCCTTCAGCTCTTTTCCACTACAGAACTTTGAAGGTAGAGAGAACCAGACATGAGTTCCAATCAAATTGTCTCAGGTAGTACAAACCCTGCTCAACAGAGAGGGATCCAAGTATCTCCAATAGCACAATTAGAGCCAGGGGTTCATGCCTCCACCTGCCAGACTTAGTCCATGCTGGTGTCTGCTTTTCTGCTTGCCAGCCCAGTTGGAGCCAGGGGACCACACCCCCACCCCCCAATCTCAGTCCTCACCCAGCAAGCTGGAGCAGGGACCTGCCCCACCCACCAAACTCAGTCCACACTAGGCAACCACTCTCCCACTTGCAGGTACCCTCAGAGCGCAAGGGTCAAGCAAGGGCCAGAGTCACCAATGGCCAGGCAAAGTCATAACCAGGGGACTGCTCCTCCTGCAAAGTTTCCCTTTCTTCCCACACCCTTTTTCTTCCCCACTAGTCACAGATTCCACCCTGATGTTCAGTGGTCCACACTATGCCCAGATCTCTCAGGAAAAGACCAAACACTATGTTCTGCAGGGGGAAGAACTTCAGACTGCCATGTGAAGGAGGAAGGGTAGACTGTGAGTTTGGAATTGTAGGAGAAAATATTTGTTCAATTTTATGCCCAGTGGGGTGGTGTTTAGGTTCATAAGTGGAACCTCCCTGGTGAAAGAGACCTAGTCTTTAGCAGCTCTCTCCAGTAAGGTAAAATGAGATGTCTTTTGTTCTTTGCTCACTGGCAGAGAGCCTGCAGTGGGCCTCCTACTTGGGGGAGAGTTCTCTCATCGTCTAGTCAATAGGCTTTGTACCTATAATTTGTTTTCTTAAATGCTCTTCCTTGGAGTCACAGCTTGCCGAACTTCTTTCTTGACTCAGCTCCCCTCCTGTGGCTTCATAGACTCTGATTCTGTCCAGTTTTCTTCCCTCTGCTCAGGAGCCTCTGCTGAGGGTTTCTGCTAGTCAGCCATCTTTGACGTTTGTCCATTTCAACCACGTTTTCAAATGTATTATCATGAAGTTATTCATAATATCTTCTAATAATTTTTTTATCTTAACTGTTTTCTGTGTTAATGTTCAATTTTTTTCAATTCCAAATACTACTTGTGCTCTCTGTCTCTCTCTGAGCAACATTAACAAAGGTTTCTCAATTCTGTCTTTTTCACTGAACCAGATTTTGGTATTGTTGAGCCTATTGTTCCTTTATTTTCGACATCCTTGCTTTTTACTCCAGTATTTTTTTTCTATTTTCTTTGATTACTCAGTTGTTATTTTTCTAACTTCTTAAGTTAAATGCTTTGCTTATTGATTTTTAATATATTTCTTATATTCTAATAAACACATTAAACTAGAATCCAATTTTAGTTGTATCCCACAGATTACAACATACAGACCAAAGCATACATGCTACTGATTCTTTGATATTTGTTGAGACTTCCATTATGGCCCAATAAAAGATCAATATTTTAAAACATGAGCATGAAGAAAATGTATATTGTTTATTTCCTGAAGAACACTTTTTTTTTAATTTTCTAACATGATCATGTATTATATTTGTAATCTGAAAAAATAATTACAAAACCTAAAAAGCTAATTAGATAATAATTGCTAAAGCTAATAAATCTTCGAAGGAAAGAGATAATTTATTACTGAGCATTTACTATATACCAATTTACTATGTGTCAAGCACTGTGATATTTATATTTATTATCTTATTTAATTCTCATAATGACCTCAAGAAAAACACAATTATCCCCATTTTGCAGATGAAAAAAGAGACTAAAAAATCAAGTAACTTGCCAACCTCCATAGCTAATAAATAGTGAAGTCTGTGTTCTAAAATACTGTGCTATACAACATGAACATTGATATATTTACATGTATACACACATACATACTCATATATGTATATGTATATAATATATGTAAAGTATAAAGAAAGCACATCAAATTAATTCAACCTTAAAGATTGTACATGGCATCTTTAGATAGTCATAAGTTATAATAATGAGAAAAAAGAAAAATACCTCTGGTAGTTTTCTCATTCAGATTCACACCATATTTTGCCAAAGCTCTAATAACATTACTTTGCCCAGCCATGCAAGCTGCATACAACAAATTTCTCCCAACGATGTCTTCTTCCAAGAGTAGCTGCATGGCCTGTTCATGGTGAGGATTCTCAGGATCCTCAAAAATCTTTTGCAAACCTTCTACATCCCCTGTGAGAGCAGGTTGTAAGAGAGGGTTTGTAGGACCTGTTTCCTCTGGTTCTTGGGCTTCTTCTTCTTCATCTTCTCCTTGCTGTGAAAAAAACACTGATTTTTCTGAACTCACTGACTCTTGGGGTCCTTCTGACTCCATTAACTCCAAAAAATACCTAAGATTTAAAGAAAAGCAATAGAAGTCTACTCAAACAAATAAGTATTTATTTATTCACTCAGTCAACTAACAACATAAACGGAATGAAAATAATTAACTATTTGAAAATAATTATAAATTACTTCAGCCAATCAATAAAGTTATTATTTTGCACCCATGATGAGTAAATATACTTCCTGATTTGGAAAGTGTCTGGATGCTAGGACTTCTATTGAGGAAATTCCCCAGTATAAACGCCAAGACCCTACTTCCACCCATATCAGTGACAGGATACTCTTTTTAAAAGGCTGAAATTGCATCAAAAGTCTGAACTTGATTCTGTAGGCAACTGGTGGTAGGTAGCCAAAGGTTTTACTGCTAAAAACTAAGCATGTTTCAAGATTGATCTGACAACCCTGGGTAACATATTTTAGAGATATTAGAAGAATAAGAGACTAGAAGCAAAAAAGAAAAACCAATTAGACAGTTATCATAAAGATCTGAATTAGTGGGAATAAGCACTTTATTCACTCATACAATTCAGCATTTACTGAATTCCATCCTATCTGCCAGACACTGTGTCAAGCCCCGAGGATTCAATAGGACAGAAAAGATCCTTCTCATCATGAAGCTTATATTTTAGTGATTGGACACAGGTAATACAAAATAAATGAGATACTTTTAGATTGTGGTAAGTGTTTCAAAGGAAATAAACATGGTGAAAAGCTAGGAAGTAACAGAGAAGTGAAGAGAAAAAAGCTTGAAATAGGAAAGGTAAGGAGAGATACTGAAGTAGAAATGAAGAGAAAAACAAAGATAATAAAGGCCCTGGCAAAACTGAACAACATTCTAAAGCAGGAATAAAAGGCCAGGTAGAAAATATTTTAGGCTTGTGAGCCCTGCTATCTCTATTGCAACTACTCAACCCTGCAACTGGAGCATGAAAGTAGTCATAGAAAATACACAAATGAACGAGTGGATCTCTATTTAAAGCAAACTTTATTCACAAAACTATGGCCTATGGGTGGTAGCCCACAGGCCATTGTTTTCTGACCCTGTTCTTAAGGAATAACAGTCAACAGAGTGCTGAAAGAACACTGTCATTTAGTTTCACAGTGAAGTAAAAAAAAAAATGGTCTAATAGTGGAAAGGCAATTGTGAAAATCTTAACTTGGTAGAATCTCTGTTTATTAATCTCATTAATCTCTTCCTTTTATAAATGTGCAAAATACTTGTAAGCTGTTAAAAGTCTGGAATACTTTGATTGTAAATAATAGAAAAGCCAAATAAGAATGACTCTTTAAAAGTAGGAGATTCTTTTCCAACATAACAAGAAGTATAAAGATGGAGATGGTTCAACAGCTTAAAAATATAGACCCAAGGCTCGGTGCCTATAGCTCAGCAGCTAGGGCACCAGCCACATACACTGGGGCTGGCAGGTTCAAACACAGGCAGGGTTGGCCAAACAACAATGGTGACCACAACAAAAAAATAGCCGGGTATTGTGACAGGCTGTGGTCCCAGCTACTTGGGAGGCTGAGGCAAGAGAATCACTTAAGCCCAAGAGTTTCAGAGTTTGAGGTTGCTATGAGCTGTGATGCCACAGCATTCTACTGAGGACGACATAGTGAGACACTGTCTCAAAAAAAAAAAAAATATATATATATATATATAGTAGATATATATATATATCTCCAAGCTCTATCATTCTGTTCCATCACACTCAGTGTTATAAGACTTTCATGTCATGACTCTTGCCTCATGGTGATAAGATAGCTGCCATTACTCCTGCTATTGTCTATTCATTCATTTTAGGAAGACAGGGGAATCCCCCAGAGGATATCAATTCCTTCAATTTCTTAAGAAGAAAGCAAAGCAAAATCTCTCCTGGCTTGGCGCCTATAGCTCAACTGGCTAAGGCACCAGCCACCTACACCTAAGGTGGCGGGTTCGAATCCCCAGCCCAGACCCACCAAACAACAATGACGGCTGCAACCAAAAAATAGCTGGGTGTTGTGGCGGGCGCCTGTGGCGGGTCCCAGCTACTTGGGAGGCGGAGGCAGGAGACTCGCTTGAGCCCAGGAGTTGGAGGTTGCTGTGAGCTGTAATGCCACGGCACTCTACCCAGGGGGACAGCTTGAGGCTCTCTCTCAAAAAAAAAAAAAATCTCTCCTGACAAGTCTCAGCTAGCTTCCAGTTATATCTCAAAGGCCAGACTTTAAGAAAAGGGAGGGGGGAAGCAAATTTCTCAATTTTCCAGCCTCTATAATGGAAGAATGAAGGTAGATGGGGCTGGGAATAGGAGTTGAGTTAGCCAATCACTCATGACTTCACCATAACATTGGTTTTAAAACTAATCTTTGAAATTATTCAGTTCAATTCCTTCATTTTACAGAAGAAATAGAGAGGAAATCTATAACCCTTCTATTTGTCTGGCATTCAACTTTACACATACACACACAAGCATATCCCTTCCTTAAAGCATCCCTATCTCAGTTTTAGAGAATTTTTCTAATGGAAAATAAAGCTAACTTCTCACTATATAAGACAAAGGCAAGATCCTCTTTGTCTCCCTCTCAGCACAAGCCTGGAGCTGGCACATGACCTAGATTCAGCCAGTCAACTGCCCAATCCCATGATCTTGACTCTTAAACCAGAACATGATGCTAGATGAAGGACTTTCATGACAAAAGACAGAAGGATGTTGCTGGTCAAAGTTCCTGCTATGAGAACATGCTCTGGTTCTTCTGGTTAGAACCCTCGAGAGTTGCCCTGGATTGCTCACCCTCCCACTGCTATGTGGGCCTTTGATATAGTACTCAGATGGAGACTACTAGTTGTCTTCCCCCAAATCTAATCTTTCCTAATAGTATCCCATACTCTTTCCTTCTCAGTCTTTCTTGCAACATAGTGTAGCCCTATGTCCAAATGATAGGTAAGCTGATGTAAGAAGATGTGAGATGCAACTTCCAGGAAAGTATAATTCTTTCTCACTGGATTATAAACATGATGGTTAATGAATCTTGCATAGATAATTTTGATCATGAGGTGGATGTTCTGTTCAAATACTAGAAAATATTATGTTCTGGATCTGGATCCAGATATTATGTTCTGCTCAAATATTAGAAAAAAAATATATATAATTTCTATTATAATATACAGCCTATATTACTTTATGATATTTGGTATTAATTTTCTATATGAAATATATTTGACTTCTATTAATAATCAAATAATTTATTGTATAATTTATCATTCAGTAGTAATGAACAATTTTGTCCTGAGTGTATTGCATTTATAGGCTGATCTACATACAACTTTTTTTTTTTTTTTTTTTTTGAGACAGTACCTCACTCTGACACCTTGGCTAAAGTATCATGGCCTCAGCTTAGCTCACAGCCATCTCAAACTCCTGAGTTCAAGAAATCCTCCTATCTCAGCCTCCTGAGTAGCTAGGACTATAGGCACATGTCACCATGCCTGGCTAATTTTTCTATTGTTAGTAGAGATGGGGTCTTGCTCTTGCTCAGGCTGGTCTCAAAGTCCTGAGCTCAAGCAATCCTCCCTCCTTAGCCTTCCAGAGTGCTAGGATTACAGATATGAGCCACCATGCCTGGACTACATATACTTTTTTAAACAAGAGAACACATAAGTTTCTCTTTATTACATATAACACGTTGATGTTTTTTATTTCGTTCTATTCTTAAGGCTGGGTGTCACATACTAAATTGATTCCATGACCTGCAAAGAGAGATATAATCCATAATGTGAAAATACATTAGCTTTGAATAACCACTATGGAGATTATACTAGGAAATCAACAAAAAGAATTTAGCAGAAGTTGGGGCCGGGGGTGGTGGCTCACACCTGTAATCCTAGCACTCAGGGAAGTCGAGACGGGTAGATTGCTTGAGCTCAGGAGTTTGAGACCAGCCTGAGCAAAGTGAAACCCCCATCTCCACTAAAAATAGAAAAATTAGCCAGGCATTGTGGCAGGCGCCTACAGTTCCAGCTACTTGGAAGGCTGTAAGCTCACAAGGTTGAGGTTGCTGTGAGCTATGATGCCAAAGCACTCTACCCAGGTCAACAGAGTGAGGCTCTATCACAATAAAAAAAGAAAAAAACCTAGCAGAAGTCAAGCAGCATGTGTTCATGGTTAATGGTTTGTGAGACATATGTACACAGGACAGTCCTAGTTACATCTATCTTCCCAGTGTAATTTTTAATAGCAGCCACTTTCCCTTTCACAAGTGTCCATTATTACTAGACAATAATTTGGTCACCCTATTTTTTAATTATTATTATTATTTATTGTTAGGGATTCATTGAGGGTACGAACAATTAGGTTACACTGATTGCATTTGTTAGACAAAGTCCCTCTTGGTCACCCTATTCATAGCAGTTGTGATCTTCTAGAACATTTCTGTTAAAGATATCCAGGCCTTGGAGAAAGGTTTGGAATGTGTTTGGAATGCCTTTCTCACTGGCACAGCAGGAACTCAGACATGAAACCTTGAAGATACTGAGAAAATCCTATTTTTGTTTCATAGTTATTTCTGCTACTGGGCCGCAAATAGCTTTATATCTCCACTACAACTGCCCAAATCCTATTTAGGCCAAGCTATAAATCCACCTTCTTCCTAAAACTTTCCTTGACTCCTCTCTTGAAGATATCCTGGCCTCTCCTTACTTTGTATATAGTCTGTACCATACAACTTACCAAATATAATATATTATTTTCTAATTGATGCATAGAAGACCTCTACCCAATTAGATTATAAACTTGCACGGATCAGGATCAAACTTCATGTTCTTTGTGTCACTTTATAAATTACCATAATTATTGACAGGTTGTATGTGCTTCGTAACTCTGAAAGTTAGGCTTGCAATTTCCAGTGCTTTTCTTCTCAACTAAGAGCAATGGGTTTTGAAGTCAGAAAGATTTGAGTTCAAAATCCAACGTTGTGGCTCGGCGCCTATAGCTCAACCCGCTAGGGCGCCAGCCATGTACAC